TTAAACATAGAATTACCATATGATGCAGTAATTCTACTTCTACATACACAAAAGAGTTAAAACAGGATCTTGAAGAGATATTTGTACATCCATGTTCATAGCAGCATTGTTGAGAATAGTCAAAAGGAGAAACAAACCAAACGTCTCTCCACGGGACAAATGGATAAACAAAATATGCTGGATACATACAATGGAATATCATTCAGCTTTAAAAAGGAAGGAAATTCTACAACATGGATGAACCCTGAAGACATTATGCTAAGTAAAATAAGCCAGACGCACAAGATAAGTATTGTATAATTCCACTTATATGAGGTTCCTAGGATAGTCAAATTCAAAGAGACAGAAAGTAGAACAATGGTTATTGGGGCTGGAGGCAGGAGAAATGAAGAGTTATTGTTTAATGGGTACAATTTCAGTTTAGGATGAAGAAAAAGTTCTAGAGACGGATAGCGGTGATGGTTGCACAACAATGTGAATATACTTAATGTCACTGAACTATACACTTCAAAATGGTTAAAATGGTAAATTTTATGTTACATATATTTTACTAGAATAAAAGATCATTCAGGGGCTGGCCTGGTGGCGCAGCGGTTAAATTTGCCCATTCTGCTTCGGAGGCCTGGGGTTCGCTGGTTCAGATCCCAGATGCGGACAAGGTGCCGCTTGGCAAGCCATGCTGTGGCAGGCATCCCACATATAAAGTAGAGGAAGATGGGCACAGATGTTAGCTCAGGGCCAGTTTTCCTCAGCAAAAAAAAGAGGAGGATTGGCAGATTAGCTCAGGGCTAATCTTCCTAAAAAAAAAATCATTCAAAAAATACTATAATTCATATAAACCTTTAAAATGAGTGTTATAGTGAATAAGAATCATACTTTCATGAAGCGAAATTCACGACTTCAGTTAATCAATAGTATGTAAAATATATATTTATACTGCCACTTACACTGCTTCATTTTCTTTTTTATATGAAATATATTGAAAACCACAGAAAAGGTAAAAAAACTCAATCACTGCATAAAAGTTATTTACTGACATCATAGGGCTAAGATAACATAGTATATCTTATTAAAAAATTTGAAATTTGAGTTTTCTGTAATCACTTGTATGGAGATATAAGTTGTTTCTTCCTTAACTCATTACACTTATTCATTTATTTACTTTGCTAGGCACAAGAAGCAGAAAGACAGCAAATCTCTGCCCTCAAGGCATTCACAATTTTGAGGAAGACCGTAAATAAACAAAATATTAATCAGGCATAATAGAGATTTGCCTGAAATGATCAAAGTATGACAGGTGTACAAAAGAAAGAGCCCCTAAAACTGCCTCATCAGAATAAAGAAGTCTCCACAGAAGAGGTGATAAATTAGCTCACTTCAAAGACAAACATGGAAAGTCATTTTAGGCAGGGGAACTAGCATATGCCAAAGCATGGAGTCAGCCTTAGCAATGTTTGGGAAGCTGCACATAGGGCAGGATGTTTAGAACTCAAGATATGTATGAAGAAGCTATAGGAGAGGATGTCAAATAGAACAGACTGATACGATGAAGAGCCTTGAATGTCAGGCAAGGAAATTTGGAGATATACTGTAGGACTTAGGAAATATTTTGTGAATAGAAAACATAAAGTCAGATCTACTTTTTAGAAAGATCACTAGAGCAGCATTGTGAATGAGACTTGGACAGAAGAAAGGAGGATACTGCAATACTTCAGGAGGGAAATGATACTAAGAAAAGAGGAAAGAGGACAGGGCAGTAAAGATAAATTTTATAGATAATCCAGGCAGGACTTCGTGACTAATTAGATGTGACCCCAAACACACACACAACACCCCCCTTGAAATAAAAGTTTCACAAATAATACCTATACTCATTATGCACTATTTACTCTAATATTCTTTTTTCTATTCTTTTCTCTTCATTAAAGAACTGATAGACACAACTAAATTGATTTCAAGACATGTCAATAGAATGTAAGGTTGAAAAATAAAACTCAATCATTCCAATAAAGACAGAAAAGAGGAAGTCAACTAACTGTAGTGTTTATAACTTAATGAAAAATTGAAAGAAAAGAAAAATGTACCAAATACTCAACAAATGAAAGCTGATATAGCTACATTAATGTCAGATGAAATAGATTCTAAGGCAAAACCACTGCAAACTGTAAAAGACTCTAAAAGCTATGTTAAAACGAGAGACTTTATTCTATACGTGGTAGATGGGTAGGCATGAGGGCTGTCACGTTTTTTTATTTCAGCAGGAGTAGTCATGAGAATTAGGCTCCAAGAAAATTGGTTAGAAAATTATTTCTATAGACAAAGCAGGGGTTAATAAGGTCTGAGTTAGTAATAGTAAGAACAGAGAGGACTGGAGACATGAGAGGCATACAGCAAATATAGAATTATGATTTGACAAGTGGACAGGGCGGAGATAATAGAGTCAAAAATGAGTCTGGGCTTTCTCAGTGACAAGATGGTTGGGTTGTCATTAACAGAAAAAGGGAATGCAGGACATAGTATGAGTTGGGAGGGAAAATGAGTTTATCACCTTTAGATATAGCTATTATAACCTATAGGGCTATATTTGAAAGGTTGTCTCAAAATTATTAGAAAGCAATTAGTTTATAAAATAATATATAATTTAAAATTTATCTGCCACTCAACTTCACTGAACCCTTAGTCACTATATTCCTTCCTTTTCTCTCAGTCTCCCTTTTGTCCCCTCACTTCACTTCCTTCCAGGCTGTTGACCAACTCCAGGGTACACTATTCACACTGCACAGAGAGTGCTAATCCCACAGAATCTCCTGTTATTGTGCAACATGGTGACCTTGCTTCCTTCTCTATCCATCATAAACCCACGGGGCATGGTTTCATCTACTCTAGTTACTACTCTCAAAGTTTGAAATTAGAACCAAACTAGAAGTACTCTTAAACCCAGCATGGGTTACCAGCAAAGTAGCTCATTCTCTTTCATTGGTAACTTTTTTGAAAATAACTAAAAATGCATCTATTCAAAGTACAAAAGCAGAGTGACAACCTAAGTGTTAATGGACTAAATGTTTGTGTCCCCCTCAAATTCATGTGTTGAAATCCTAACTCCAATGTGATGGTATTAGGAGGCAGGGCCTTTGGGAGGTGATTATGTCATGAGGATGGACTCCTCATGAGTGGGATTACTGCCCTTATAAAAGAGACTCCAGAGAGTTCTCTCTTCCTGCTATGTGTGGCACAACATGTCATCTATATTTTTTCATGTTTTTTTTTTTTAACAACCCTCTAAAAAGCAAAAGATATTCTTAGCTCAAGGGTCATAATAAACAATCTGGCCTGTGGTCTGTAATTTCCTTACATTCTGCTCTGGAAAAAGGTTCTTCTCATTCTGTCATGTGATGGCTCTGCAGTCTGATAGCTGGCCCTTTAACCAGCTCTTTCTGAAAACAAATCTGCCAGTCAAAAATTCTACCTAGGTACATCTGTAAACCAGGAAGCAGGCCACACCCAACCATGCTGGCACCCTGATCTCAGATTTCTGGCCCTTGGAACTGTGAGAAATATATTTCTGTTGTTTATAAGCCAACCAGTCTATGGTAATTTGCTAGAGCAGCCTGAACTAAGTCATTAGGTTTTTTCTCATTTCAATGATTACCCAAATTTCAGTACTCTTAAGTCTTTCTTTCAACTTATTCAGTGCCGTATAAGGCATTTAGTATACAGATAAATATTAAGTGTACAGCTTGACAGACTAAGTACTCTGACTACAATGCAATTAAATTAGATATAAATATTAGAGGATAACTAAGAAAACCCCATAGGTTAAAGAAGAAACTATAATGGAAAAAATTTTAAACTGAGTACTGAACAACAGACTATAAAATTTGTAGAATGCAGCTAAAATGCATTTGGAAAATTTTAACATTAAACACTGTCTATTAGAAAAGAAGATGAAAGATTAATGAGCTGAAAAAGTTGAGGACTCACATTACCTGACTGCACTTATTATAAAGCTACAGTTATCACCTTCCTTCTTCACTTGAGAGGAAAAATACCCAGTCACTATTCCCCATATGAAAACTTCCAAAAACTTCTTGAGATAATTATAAGGTTATTTCTCTGCCTCTCCTCCAGACTAAATCCCAGTATCTTTTGCTTTTACTATAAATTTCATTTTCCTATCCTTTTTATTTATAAGATCTTAAATCTAGATTCTATATTTCTCATTTCAGTTAAATAAAAAAAACAATAATTCATGCACATGCTATAAAATATCTTGAGGTCTTTAGGTGTGAGCTCTGCTAAAGTCTATGGACCTCAGTGGTAGTACTATGTTGCTAATTCACACAGTATGAGGTTTAATCTATCTCCCTTAAATACTATCCAACCAAACTCACAGGAAGCCAGCTATACAAGTACGATTTTCAAGTTGTTTATTGATCATTGGCTATAACTATACTCCCAAAGTGAATCATATTATTTTAAAACAATAGTGGCTAAGACATTCCCCTTTTCTTGTTGTTGTCACCATTAGAAAAACTTAACTCTTCATTTTCTTTTTAATATATCAAATGAAGTTTTGGTACCAACACAGTTATGTATTTATATATTCTAAACTCAAAGCAAAATATCTCATGTTGGGTTTTTTTACATTAGTGAATTCTCTAGGTATTTTGCCAGTAATATTAAACATAGATTGTCTTCCCTAAATTGCTAAAATCTTAGAGAGGTCACTAAAATGGATTATTAAAAGATCTGACTAGGCTTGAAACTACCACTACCAATTTTCAAAATAAACCCTATCACTGCCATTTTCAAAATAAACACATCATGATTTGCTACTTTGTTTTGCTTTTAAAGCATAACTTTGTTCTATATGAGAACATGGAGAAGTATTCCTTACACTTTGTCACCTTACACTCTTTCAATATTTATCACTTCTCAAAAAAGTTAGTAGATGATACCAAAAAAAAAATTACTCTCTCCCCCCAGTCCATTGCACTCACCTACAAAAGGGGCTGGGAATAGTAGGTATCACATAACAAATCCCCCCATTCAGGCAAAATGACCTGTGCCTGGCACCACAGGGCTCTTCGTGATCTAAAACACATACATAAATGAAAAGAGAAAGGTAAATTAAAGTTTTCCTAATAAAGCAAGAAAAAGGACTAAGTATCTTAGACTGAAGTAACAATTCTAAAAATTAGAATAAACAATTGTTTCTCAAAATGAAGGAATTAATCTTATTTCTTATTTGATCAGCAGGGACTTCTAACCCTTTGAAGGAAAAATTAATCTGTCCTGAGGATTTGGCCATTAATTATAATGGATTTATAACCTCTATTACAGAAATAGAGAATCTCAATAATAGGTTAAAAGAACGCAACTGGGATCTTAAACATTGGCCTTTCTCATTAGTACAGAGATTCCGCAGCTTTGCTTCGAGTTTCTCTGTCCCTGGGTGTATTTAGGTTTTTATCTTTCCTTTTACGTTCCAAATACATTAAAGTCTGAAATTACCGTGGGGAAAAAGATTTAGATAATTGAAATAATTTCTGATTTCCAAAATTATCTTTAAACATTTCTATATACGACAATTTTAACATCAAAAAAGTGAAAATAAAATAATCTTACAAGGCAAGGGGATTTTAGGTAACAGTTAGTAACTGTAAAGATATATCTAAATTTCTCAAGTAAAATTAAAAGCTTAAGTCATTGCTTGATAAACAGCCAAAACTTTCAGAATACTGAGAAAATAAACCTCCATTTCTTTCTTGCTTCCTTTCTTTCCCTCCTTTCTCCATCCTTAATTCCATCTTTATCTCTGACGTTTCCTTTATGCTTCTTTATTCTTTGCCTTCACTGTCTCCCTTGGTACCTCTCCTTCCTTCCAGTCTCCACCTCCCCGCTACCTGTTTTAAAGGGAAAATCCCTTTCCTTTCACTCCTGGTCACCAAAACTACTATACAGAGAAATTTAGAAATAACCATAGTAGAATTCATTGAGTCATTATACTACTGTTTATGACTAGAAGAGCAAATTGCTGAATACTTTATCTTTCGGTCTTGAAAGGGAAGTACATTCTTTAAAATTGCACATTACTGGTTCCTGATTGTTTCTGTCTAGAAAATAACCTAGAATCTTATGTGAAGAAGAAAATGGCATTACTTCAATTTTCCATTTAAAAAAATAGTACCTTAATTAAAAAAAATTATCTAGCATTTATTTGCCACTAAGGTCTCAATACCTGTCAGGTTACAACTGCTACTGAACCAGATATCACCACCATGAGAATCTGAAATTTCAAAACTTCCTTTTACTTTAGAATTGAGAAGAATCTGTTTCACCATCACATTGGAACTATAAAAGTATAAAAATGTAAAGAGAAAAACAGAACCATAAAGAATTTAAGGGTAAAAACAAAAAAAGAAAGTAAATCAACCAGAACTAATTTGTTTAGATTTTTTCTTTTTTACACAATGCCATGCTTGTTTACAATCAAACAAATTTTAATAAGATAATGCTTACAATTTTTCAGGAACAATTTGTCTAACAAATAAAATCCCAATTAACATTACATCAGAATCACTGGCACTATCACATAGGGTTTTCCATTGAGAGTGGAGTGTAACTTTATTATAGAATGCTTTCTGTCGCTGAACTTAATGTCTTTGTTTTTAACAGGATTATAACCAGTCATGTCTCAACAGCTGGTATTTTATCAGTAAAGCATACTCATCTAACCTGAATCACTACCTCTGAATCTATTTTTATTCTGATTTCATTTACTTCTTTGTAAAGTTGATATCAGATATAGAGTAAGCTAGAATTTGCCAGTTTATAAAAACTGATGAAATATATGTCTAAAATAAAATAGCCTCATGTTACAAAAGATGGTCTTTCAAAACCAAAGTATTTCAGATTTCAGGAACAATTTTAGATGGGGAAAAATATAGTCTTGTGTTAATATGCTTTTCTTTGTTCTATTGCTATGTGGCACACATTGACAAAAGTATAAACTTACAAGAAATTACCTGTTGGCATCTTAATTTTTAAATAGTTTCATTCTTGGTCAAAAGTTGAGGGTTGAAAAACAGCACCTAAAATTAATAATTTAGGAAAAATTATTTTCTTTTGAGAGCATTATAAAATGTCAAATATTCTAACAGCAATATATTTTTAAATGATGAAAGTAATTAAGACATTTATATGCTAGTCACAAAATTCTTTGGTTAAAGCATCTTTTTTTAAGATATTTATTACATATCAACAAAAAAACTGAATAGATAAAACTAAAAGATCAACATTAAACAGTATAAATGCACTAAATATAAATCATTGCCTAAATAATGTAGCGTAATCTTAAAACTCTCTCTGGAGAAAATTCTAATAAGTTTCACTTTTAATAAACATTGTTAGTGTAGTAGTGTACTCTATGAGATTATATGTGAAAGATATGAGTCAGTAAATAAAATTGAATGACCTCAACTGACTTTTTACTTTTTCATAAGGCCTATTTCTAATTTCACTTTAAATACAATCAATGACTTCTAATTCTTCAGTTTATTGAAAATGGTCAAAAACATATTATAAAAAAACTTTACCAGCAGTTAAAAGGTTTACATTTCTATAAAACCTTTAATATTTATATAAAGTACTTTTAAATTTACTGTAGATTGCACATAACATTTACCAAGCTACATAGGCCTTTTAAAAAAATGTCTGGAATCTGGCAAAGCAAAGTGGCTAATAAGATGTGCTTATGTGTGAAGTTATCTGCTACAACAGAAACAAAGGAAGTAAAAAATACATTTGAAGAGATGAAGGATTTCTACTTACATTACGATTACATGCTCTCAATTTGGTTTTCTAAAGGGGACTTACTCCCGACTTAAGCAAAAAGACTTTGTAACAAAAATGTCAATCAACAACTTCTGTTAACACAGCTGTAATATCAAAGTCTTCTCCCAAAGCCAATCATTCTTTCTTATAAAGACAAGCAACGAGAGAAATTAAACCTACCTAATTTGAAAGAATCACTGGCTCACTGTATAAGCTTCTTTTTCCAAACAAACAGGGCTTACCTCAATAAAAACCTACATATGTATAAACAATACATTCTGTTGGATATGCAGTATTTCAAAGATTTTGAATACTGCAGACTACAGCAGCTGTGCCTAGCATTTTATAACACATCGAAATCTGATTTATATAGCTGCCACATGCAGAGTGGGCAAGGTTGAGACAAAGACCAAGGGGTGCACAGGGGTCAGGACAAGGGAACAACCTCTTTCAGTCCGCATGTCCAGAGTTGCAAACAGAGCAGAATTTTATTTTTAAAAAAAGTTGTATTAAACTGCACTCTCAAATTACTGCCCAATTTTTAAAGTTATGAAATAAATCACATCCTTTAGACTCCTTATTCATCTTTACATGTCTGAATAATTCAAGAGTGTTGTGAAAGGTTGTGGAGAAAATGAATTTTAATGTGGAGTTAGTGGAAAAGTGTTCCACAGGGTTTTTTAAAAAAGGAATTTCCTTAAAAATCACATATTTTATAAATGATTATTTGAAGTACTTATAAAACTGAAGGAAGGTAATAGTTACAACATATAACATCATGTTCAATTTGAAATGAATACAGTCACTGAACATGACTAATACTGATAGCAATATAACTACTCACAAACTATGGGTAAGCAATAATACATGCATTAAGGGAAGGTATGAGGTTTAATAATCATAAATAATTTTAAAATATTGACTAAAACTATAATATTGTTTAAACGAAGTACACAGTTCTTCATCATATAATTATCTAAAGTATGCCAAGTATGTAGATGGTTATCTTTTCTAAAACCAAAACTCAGAAAAAATTATTACTTGATTGATATAAAACACTGAAACTACTATGGTTGTTCTTTTAAGAAAATATTAAAATAAACTCATATCAGCCCATACTCTAAAAACAATTCTCTTCATCATTACATATTATCTCCCACATTCAAACGCAATTTTTACATAGCTACAACCTTTACATATATACATATACACACACACACACATAAACATCACGTAAACTTATAGTGTTTGAATTTTAAAATGATATGTTTATGAAAAATCTGTAACCTTTACTTTTTTATTTGAACTATGGAACTGTGATGCTGTCTACTAACATGAAAATGACTACTAAGCTGTATGTGAGATATAATAATTTGTGATTTCATCCAGCACATTCAAGATGTATTTATTAAGAGATATGTCGTAGCAGATGGTTTGGTATTATTTTTTGCATGATGCAAATAAACTTAACCTTTGAGGCTACATGATTCTCAAGTAGAAAATCTAATGTTTTTCAAGCTAACTTTTCACTCTAAATGAAAGCCTTGTGTTTAAGAACAATTTATTTGTTCATTCATCTATCAACAAACATGTAGTAAGTGGTCTACTACCTTTAACAAATGACAAACACACAAACTAATAACTACAAAAATGTTCTAGGGTGGGGTAGTGACATCAGATCATGGCGAGTGAGTTTTCCCCTGGATATCTCCCCTACACCATACAACGAAAAAGACATGCATACTCCAACAGAGGACATCCAAACACAACACAAAAGATGCCTGAGAGACCCATGCAGCCATACAGTGGAGGGTGGAGAGGCTGGAGACCCTTTGGAAGAGGTGGAAAGGGGTAAGAGAAAACTTCACTTCCTCCCCAAAAGACTGGAATCCAGGACCATGGGCAGCCTCCAAGAGGGAAGGAACGGGGGAGGGGACGTTCGTTTGTGGGAATATCAAAGATCCCAGAGGGCCCTTGCAGCCTAGGGGAAAGCCCCTACCAAGGTGAAAGCTAACGCGGGGGTGATCTCATCAAGCCAACACTCCAGAAGAACAGACGGCAAGAGCAGAGTGAGAAAACCTTGAGAGCATAAAGAAGAAAATGCCCCTTCCCCCACCTGCCCAGGTCCAGTGCATGGGATCTCAATGGAACACAAAGGGCTCAGAACATGCAGCTCTTGACCTGCACCCAGGGGCGACAGACAATAACTGTAACCGAATAATATCATGGTGCGCAAAACCAGAGCCATGCCATCTAGCACTTTCAAAAATTATATTAAATCTCCAGACCAGAGAGAAAATGACAAGTACCCGGAAAGCAGTCCTGAGGACACAGAAATATATAATCTAAATGACAGAGAATTCAAAATAGCTATCATCAAAAAACTCAACTAGTTAAAAGAAAATGTAGAGAAACAATTTAAAAAGTTCAGGAGCTACTTCACAAAGGGACCGAAACTATAAATAAGACTCAATCAGAAACATTAGAGATAAAAGACACAGTGGAAGAGATAAAACAAAATATGGATGCCCTGAATGCTTGAGCGGACATCATAGAGGAGCAAACTAGCATAATCGAGGAGAGACATGTTGAAATGCTCCAGATAGAGGAGGAGAGAGAACTAAGACTAAAAAGAAATGGAGAAAGTCTCCGAGAAATATCCGACTCAATTAGGAAATGGAACATAAGAATTATAGGTATTCCAGAGGGAGAAGAGAAGGAGAATGGAGCAGAAAGCTTGCTCAGAGAAATTATAGCAGAGAACTTCCCAAACCTAGGAAAGGAGATGGAAATCCATGTGGAAGACTCTACCAGATCTCCTAAATATGTCAATGTAAAAAGACCTACTGCAAGGCATATAGTAGTGAAGCTGGCAAAAATAAATGACAAGGAAAAAATACTGAGGGCAATAAGGCAGAAGAAAATAACCTGCAAAGGAACCCTGATCAGGCTTTCACTGGATTTCTCTGCACAAAGCTTACAGGCGAGGAGAGACTGGAATGCCATATTCAAATAATTGAAGGACCAAAACTTTCAGCCAAGAATACTCTATCCAGTGAAAATAGCCTTCAGATATGATGGAGAAATAAAGAATTTCCTAGATAAAAAAAAGCTAAGGGAATTCGTAGCCACAGGGCCCAATGGACTCCACAAGAGATCGTGAAGAAGGCCCTCATACTTGAAAAAAAAATAATAAAAGGGAGAAAGGGGTTACAAGCACAGAGTAAGGAGATAAATAGGTATACAAGATCAGAAAACTGTAGCTATAGATTAGAACAGGTTAGCAAATACTCAAGAATAGCATTCAAGATAAAGGGAAGGAAAGCCCCAAAAACAAAGATAATCCTGTCATTTTAATCACAAACTCACAACACAACATGGAATAAGGTAAGAGAAAAACAACTTAGGAGGGGAAGAGGAAAGGAAATAAGAGGCCATCAGAAAATGGACTATTTATGAGATATTTTTTTTTTTTTGAGGAAGATTAGCCCTGAGCTAACATCCACTGCCAATCCTTTTTGCTGAGGAAGACTGGCCCTGAGCTAACATCTGTGCCCATCGTCCTCTACTTTATACGTGAGACTCCTACCACAGCACGTCTTGACAAGCAGTGCACAGGTCAATACCCAGGATTCGAACCAGCAAACCCCAGGCTGCAAGAGCCGAATGTGTGAACTTAATGGCTGCATCACCGGGTGGGACCGCTTATCTACCAGATTTTTGAATAAAAAACTCATGGTAACCACTAAACAAAAAAGCAAAACAGAGACACAAATAATAACCAAGAAGAAAACAAAGAAACATAACATTAAAAAGTACATAACTCAATTGGTAGACCAAAATACATATGACAAGAAACAAAGGAAATGCAGGAGAACCAGAAAACGAGTGATAAAATGGCAGCATTGAAACCTCATATATTGATAATCACCATAAGTGTAAATGGATTGATTCTTCAATAAAAAGACACTGAGTGGCAAGATGGATTAAAGAACAAGACCCAACAACATGCTGCCTCCAGGGAACACATCTCAGCTCCAATGACAAACCCAAGCTCAGAGTGAAGGGATGGAAGATGATACTCCAAGCTCATGGCAAACAAAACAAGCCAGGCCTTGCAATACTATTAGACAAAGTAGACTTCAAGATAAGGCAGGCAAAGAGAGACACAGAGGGGCAGTATATAATGATCAAAGGGACATTCCACCAAGAAGACATAACACTTATAAACATCTATGTACCCAACACAGGAGCAGCG